ATGGGCGTAAGCATTTATCTTGAGTTTGCGGTCATTATCTTTATTATATTGCCTCGGCAATAAATAAATCTAGTAGTTACTACCCCACAATAAAACTGTAGTATATGGGACACCTTACTATTACTTTCTTAACAATCTGCCATCTCTTCACCTCTAAATCTTCCCTGTCTGCCCGGCCCGCGAGGGTCGCTCCCCGCCCGCAGGTGCGGAGTCTCCGCGCCGCTGCCTCCGCTCCTCCCGCCCTGCCCGCTGCTTTCCCCTTTTCCCGATGATTTCTCCCCAGGGAGCTCCCTCTCGGCCCCCGCAGGTGCCAGCCCTGCCCGCGGGGCTGCCTTCAGCCCCATGCTCCGCGTGGGCAACCCCGGGGCTGGGTGTCCCCTAGGTGGGTGTCCCTCAGTCGGCATCCCCTCGGGGGGGGATATCCCCGGGACGGGTGTCCCTTTTCGGGCATCCCCCAGCTCGGTGTCCCCCTGTAGACACCCCCTGGGTGGGTCTTCCCCGTGGGCAGCCCCCAGGCGGGTGTCCCTCGTGGGCAATCCCGTCTGAGCACCCACACTCCGATGGCGCGCACTCCCAGCAGGTGGGACCCCCCTTTTGGGGATCATTACACCGCCGCCCCCCCCCGGCTTTCTACCCGCCACCCCGGCCCATGGGGTAGAGGCAAGGGGAAACCCACGGGGTTGCCCCTCTCTTCTCGTGGGCTGCACCCTGACCACCCCCTTTCTTGTTGTTTTGGGGGTTTGTTTTTTTTTTTTTGGCGAGGGGGGCACACGTGGAACAGCCCCAAAACTAAGGCTCAGCAGCGAAGGGAAGCGCTGCCGCTGCGCCAGAGAGCCTTCACCTCCGCTCCCTGCCTCCCGCTGCCTCTCTGGTTGCTTTCCCCCCACACACACTCCATAAGTAAATGTCCACGCAATAATATTTATTTACAGTCAGGATGCTGCGCGTATGTTTCTTTTAATTGTATTTTACCAGGTGATTCCTCCTTGCTTTTAAAACAAGCGGCTTGGAAAAATATTCCCATTTGGGGCAGCAGCAAAGGAGAGGAAAAGGGGGGTGGGAGCATTTTTATTTATACCTTTGACATTTAAAAGAGCATAATTAATTTGTCCTGCTTGCATTAACATTGTTGAGGAAGGTTTCAGAAAGCAAACCAGCAAAGGGAAGGGGGGAGGAAAAAGAGAAGCTCGCCTAGAAAGCTTAGGATTTTTTTCCCTCTTTCAGATGTGTAATCAATCATTCGAGTAGGAGGCAGCAAAATTGTAAAGATTCGATAGATTAAAATGCAAATGAAAGGTAGAAAAAGAAACATTAACATGGCAATCAAAGATTTAATAATCGTAAATCACGGTGGGGTTTTTTTGTTGCAGCTGCAGTTTGTGTGTTTTTTATGTTTTAATCATGTTCGTTCTATAAATAAATAATTTCTGAAACGAGACTAATTTTTCACTATTTTAACCGTGAGCTATGGCACTAAATATTTTTTTATAAGTATGGAACTCCAGATTGCAAACTATCAGACCAGAAAAGGAGGAAAATATAGCTAAGTTGGATTAGTTCACATTTGAAATTTCAAGTGCAATGTCTTCGCACTGCCGACTGCTTACCTTTCCAATTGAAATCCTTATAAAGTTTATTTGGAATCATGAATGTTTATGTGAAAGCAGACAACCGGCGTTTCTTTACAAGGCTAACGGTAGCGCCAACCCTCATTCCTGGAGGAAATATGGAAAAATATATTTACATATATATGTTCTTTTCCCTATATATATATATATTTATATATACAGGGGAAAGAACAATAACACTTAGGCTGTATTACCTTCAAACTAAAGCGTTGCTAAATTTCCAAGGGATGATTGAAGAGGGGGAAACCTGGGGAGAGAGGTGATCAATGCGGGGAAGGACGAGCCGGAGAGATTTGCTCTCCCCTCGGTTTAGCGCTGCGTCTCAAAGGGGGGCTCCGGGGCTGCCTAGGGTGGCTGTGGGAAATTCAGCGTCTTTCTCTCCCGGCTCCCATGGGCTCGGCTTTGGTCCCCTCAAGTCCCGGGTTATGGGGTGCACTGGCTCATCCTCTGGGGAAGAGGCTGGAAAATAATTCTTTTAACTTTCGGGCGCAGCGGATGGAGTTCATTTGTTGCTGCGAGGATGGGGGAAAAGGAGTTAATCTTTACTTCGTTGGTAATCCTTAAAGAGCTAAGGGAGAGAGAAGGAAGAGGGGGGAAAGAAAAAACGTGGGCTCCTCCGGTTTGGGGTTTTTCCGCAGCGCTGCCCTCTCTATAAAGCGCTCGGCGAAAAGAAACCGGTAAAACACCCCAACTAAATGCGGGAAACGAGCCGCATTTCTGCGCCCTCCTCCTCGTCGAGGGGGTCCAGCCCTGTCCTGTGCCCCCCTCCCCAGGTCCCCGGTGTCTCCGGCAGCGCTCTCCGCCGCCGGACCTTCCCCCGGTGCGGCCGCCGCTCCGCGCCGCGGGGCCCCGCGGATCCCCCGCGGTCGAGGGGATGCTGCGGGGAAGGGTCCCGCTCCGAAGAGCCCCCGCCACAGCACCCCCGCACCACCGCCCTCCAGGCAGGTACCGGCCAAACTCTTTAGAATTGGGGGGTGGAATTCACCGAATGTTTTTTTTCCCCCAGCCAATTCACATTAAACCCACTTTAATTTTTTCCCTTGCTGAAGCCCTTTTTTTGGGGGAGTTGTTTGTTTTTTTTTTCCCTCCCTCAGTCCCTCTCCCCAAACTGGGGGGTCCCAGCAGGACGGCCCCGCCGGGAGCTGCCCTGGCCCTGCCCGCCGGCTGCCGGGGCCGCGCTCCGGGCGGTGCCCGGGACTTGTTGTCTGCCAGGCGGGGAGCGGGGCCGGGGGGGGTCCGCGGCCGGGAGGGTCCGGGGGGGCCCCGCCGCCTCCCGCAGCCCCTGACCCCGGCATGCACGGCGCGGCTCCATTGATCATCCCGGCCCGCCACCCCCTCCCTTTATGAGATAATGCAATTACAAACATCAATAAGGAGCTGCGAGGGGAATCATTATGCGGTGACAGTGATAAATGACGGTGCAGAAATAGCATGCTTTTTTTTTTTTTTTTCCCTCCCTAACAATCCAGGGGCTTTGGGGGCTGAGCACAGTCACCAAGGTAACAGATGACATCCAAAATGGCACCAAAGGAAAAAAAATGAACAGTCTTTCTTTCGCCTTTCACTCTTTTCGCCCTGCTCTTCCAAAAGAGTTAGTTGGGGCTTTGGAAGCAGCTGCCACACAGGCATGCGGGTATTTCCACACGCATTAAAGGGACGGGGAAGGTTTACTGGCTGTCACACAAAAAGCACCAGCCCGGCCCGGAGCTGAGCAGCCACCTCCAGGCGGCACCGGGAGCGCCCACCCACCCCACCCGCGATCGCTCCCGCGCCGCCCGCGCACCGCCCGCCCCTGCCCGCGGCCGGGGGCAGCCGCCTCCTCCTGGCCCTCGGGAAGCGTTCCTTCGCTTTTATATGGATATAAATATATAATTATATATATATATATATATGTATTCATCCCGGGCGGCACAGCAAGGTCAGGGGAGTGGGTAAATGCTCTGCTGTTTTCCGCGCAGGTTCAGGACGCGGGGAGCGAGGCCCCGGGTAGCGGGGGGACTTCCTGCGCACCAGAGCCGGGGGTGGAAATATTCACCGCGTGGCCGAAAAGTGCCGATTCTGAGCCCGAAAGTACCTGTGGCTGATAGAGGCACGGCAGGGCAGGCACCGCCTCCGCCGCCTCCCGCGATCCCTCTGCCTGGAGGGGGGCGCGGTCCTCCTGGCTGGAATTTGTTGTCCCCCCGCAAAAAACCCTCGTGGGGTGTGGGTGCCCAGCCCAGACACAGGGCAGGCCCCGTGCAACTACCGCGCTGAGGGGTCTGGCCCCTCGTCCGCCTCTGGACAGGGGGAGGTATTAGCTCCGCGGGACACTGCGCCCGGGGGTGCGGGAGGGCCGGTGGGGGGACGTTTGGCACAAAAAGAGAAGGGGGACGAGGGAAA